TATGTGTGTATGTTTGTGTGTATGTATGTGTGGCTTGTGTGTGTGTGTGTGTGTGATAGGAAGAGAAGGGCCATACCATTGACAGCCCTCATTAAGAAATCTTACAAAAGTGAAGGTAACATTCTTCACAGAACAATGTGTTTCATGTGGAAGCCTAGTTAGTGATCATGACGTGTACATCATGAAATCCTGCTAACGAACAGACTAGTAATACCAGCTAACAAAGAGCAACTGGGGCATGGGACATAGTTTGATTGTTTTAGGAAAGGTAAAGATGAATCTGCCCTGTGATCTAACAATTACACTCCCTGGTACATATCCAAGAGAATAAAAACACAGATATTTGACACTTCATTCATCATTGTCAAACTCTAGGAGCAGCCTGAATGTCTATCAATAAGGAGATGAATAAATAAATTGTGGCCTGTCACAAAAGCGTGTGATTCAGCAATGAAGAAGGATGAGGAATTGATCCACACAGCAAATGAATAAATTTAAACATTATGTTGAGCAACTGTCATTAGTCACTAGATGAAACATACTATACTACTTCAATCCTATGTGTTTCAAGAATAAATGAAGTAGCTATACGAGACAGCGGTTGTCTGAGTCTGTATGGTATATCAGTCAACTGCATAAAGGCACAAGGGAATCTTCTGAAATAAATTGAATGACTTATATTCTATCTTGGGCAGAAGATACATGGGCATCTGTAGCTAATAAAGTCATCATTTCATATCCCTCCATGTTATTTTGTGAAAAATATACAGTAGTGCACAATAAGCATCCCATTTCTAATGTAGGCCACCTTTCATCAGGCAGAAGTCAGGCAAACTCCTTCAGAAAGAGTAGCAAACGGAAGCAGGGGAACCCCTTCTGTGTGGATCTCTAGATCTCACAGTAAACTGTGTCTTCTCAAAGGCCAGAGCTGAGAGAAGGAGCAGGCTGAAAGGTCACAAAAACACAAAAGAACAAACAAACAAGGTTAAAGGAGCAAAGCAAATGCTTGAGCCATAAACTTAGAAATGTCACAAATAGTCTTAACTACTATTTTTTTTCTTTATGAATGGTTGTTAGCCCTTCATTGTACAATATATTTAGACACTGAGGCATAGATATTTAATTATAATAAAATACAAATGCTATCAATTTGGTTTGTAGATTGTCAATTGTCCCTGCCTATGAATATTGACTCTTTTTAAAATAATAAACTTTTAAGCACTTTTAAGCTCTATGTTAAGAGTGTTCTTATTACATCTGTTGACATAAAAATATACGTGGAGATAAAAGTGAAGGAAATCTTACCAAGGGCACATGCATCACAACAGAGCTTGGAGAACTAAGGGTCTCTAAACATCTGGAATTCTCCAGATACCAGCTACATCTTCAGAGTGGTCACAATGATAACACACTTAACGGACTGTTGTGTAACTAAAAGGAAGCATGCAGGGAGCAGTTGGTAGAGTGGTTCATTATCTCAGTTGCCTTCTGTCTCTCACTGCATCGTGACTTTCTCTGATAACAGAATTTGTTTCTTAACTGTTAGAGTGAATATTCTGAAAGAGCCACCACAGAAATCACGGACAAAGAGTACTGAGTCCTTCTCTCTAGGGATTAATCTGTGCTAACATTAATCTACCTGGGGCAGAGAACACAGGAAGCAATAAATTTGCATCCAGGGTTGATGCAGATCTAGTGAGAAGCTATAGCAGTAGCAGGCTGTTTTTACAACGTTGTAGGCTATATCGCCTCACCCTACGATGGTCCAGTGTCCACTGCACACCAGATTCTGTGTTACACACTAATTCAGTGACAGACACAGCAAAGGATTATTTACTTCCACAGCAAAAACAAGGAGGTCAGTGTGTACTTCTACAAAATAGAGCAGAAACTCACATTTCAACCCTAGACAGAAGCAATGCTCTGACCTAATCATAGGCTGACTGTTTAGATAGCCTTCCTCAGCAGGGCTGAGGGAACTTCATCCAGTACCTTCCACCTCCCTAAGTTAGTGGTAAAGAGGAGGGAAATGAGTTTAGATACTGACATTTTTTCCCACAAGTTTCTCCTTGCTCAGAAGTTCTTAACAAAATATGAAACTTCCTTCCTTGTCTCTGAGGCTGAACCTTGTAAATCACGCTCTGAAAGATACATTTATTTAAATTTCAGGTCTCAGGAGATTTTACATGCTGCATATGACCAGAATACAGCCCCAAAACTTCAACTGCTTTCCAAGAACTTAGCCTCTCTTCTCTTAGCCGATGTGCTTCTGCTTCATCCCTATCAGTCAGTGGGATATCAGAGCAACCCATCCTGAAAATATATTTTTTTTCATAATGAGGGAAGAACCAAATTTTTATGAACTTCGATAATGATCTTGATACCGCTAGTCTTTCCCCTCAACCCTTAGATCAATGCTACCTCTCAATCTGTTTCAGAGGGTAGTGCTACCATGCAGGAGATTATGAAGGATATGAAGGAAGAGGAACAGTCATTCTGAAGCAACAGATAGACTCCTCTCATCCGTTATGAAGAATAATCATATATCAGCTGAGACCGCTGAGATGATCAATCTTAGGTCAGTTGTTTAGAAGACTATAAGAAGAAAAGCTAGGCCAAGCCATGATAGGTGCACTGGGTACAGAGAAAATGTCACCTTTTCTCTCTCAGAGCTCTGACACTTGAGCACAGACTGGGGAGCTATCACATTGATCTGACTGGTTAGCTCTAAGCAACAGTAAACATCATAGGAAGATTCAAACAACTGGATCATTGCCTCAGCCAACTAGCAGTTAACCAGTAAGAAGATCTAATTATTCTGGGTCTAATAGGATTAGAGGCTTGCTAGAGTCCGAAATTTAAAATACTTTAGAGTATATGTATAGAATCAGCAATCTTCTGAAACATACACTCACAGTCTCACTCCTTGGGCTCAGAAGTGTTAGGATCTACAACTCTTAGGTTGCTAAGTAAGTAAAAGCTGTACTTTAACCACTCAGGTCCTCACTCTACCCCGAAGAGAACTTGAAGAGATGAGGGAAGAGATGAGAGATCACATGCATCAACGGGGACTATTAGCATGGTAATGAGCTGCATTTTCTATTTACACTTCCATCACTAAGATTATTTTAAGAGCTATTTTAAGGAGCAGGTTATACTTTAATTAATAGCATTTCAGGAGTGAAAGTCAGCTGCATCTCCCAAGTACATTCAAGCTCCAAACATTTTATTCCACATCAAGAGCTTCCAGCTCACCCAACACTTTAGTATCACTGCCGCTCAAGGAAGTACATCTTTTTAAAAGTCTACATAATTAGTTCCCAGAACTAAAGTTAATAAAAAGCATGAATGGCGAGCACATAAACTATTTACCTGTGGAGGATTAATAAGCATCCCCATTTCAGATGACAGGGATTGTAGGGGATTAAGACATATTGGTTAGTTCATACTATGTTAAGGTTTCAATGGGAAATACATACTACAGGTTCATGTGGCCGAATATCCTAGTCTTCAGTTAATTAGTGCCATTGCTCTTGGGGATTTTGGAACATTTTGGACGTGTGTCCTAGCTAGTAGGCACAGATCTATAGGAGTGGGTTTGTGGTGCCTATAACCCAGTCCTATTCCTATCTCAACTTCAGTTCTCTCTCTCCCTCTCTTCCTCCCTCCCCCTCTCCCCATATATATGTAAATATATATATGTATATATATATAGAAAGAATATATGAAATTTTATTTCAATTAAGAGCATACATTTTTAGAAAAGAAAGCTACTAAATACGGAAAATGATTTTGTCCATGAGATTTTATTTGGCTTTAACTTATTATGAGTAGCTATGAGGCAGCCAGCAAAGTGATAACTGCAGTAGTGATTGCTCGTGTCTCTCTATATGCTGGACCCTAAACAGTTTATGTACATTTACTCATTTAGTTCTTACAAAAAGTCCTCAAGGGAAACATACAGAAAATAGGCTTTCGTAGTCACAAAGCTGTTGAATGAAATAAATCCAGAAGCCTGGACATACAGCTCTCATCCTTACAGACTGCAGAAGACTGCCATGGCTATTTTTATTCTGTGCATATGCTGTGCATTTAGTTGGACATTCATTCCACGATTTAAGAGAGGTGACCATTCCTGGTTCTATGATGTATATAAATCCCTTCGATATGTATTTTTTCTCTACTAAATAACCTCACTAGTGGACTGTGTGTGCAAGTTCCTTCTACTCACGTTATATCCTGTTATCATAGTCAAAGCAGAAATGTCTAAGTAAAGGCAGAGTAGGTACAGTTCCTACCTGTACCTACTGAATGGTTTTTCAAGCCCATTTGCTTCCCTTGGCTTCAACAGGAACCCTCCTTGGAACATGCTGACATAACTGCTGTTAAAACTCTTCCTTGCCTCATGCTTCACTTTTGACTATTGAAATCCCACCATGCTGCTGCCATGAACGCACATCTACCTTCACAATAGCACAGAAACCTGAAGGGGAAGGTCGGGCTGCCTTCTCTCAGTGTCTCCCACCAGCTCACTACCATCCAGGAGTTATAAGAAGCACTTTCATGGACAGTATCAGATAGTGCCTAACCAGGAGAGAAGACTCACTTGACAAGAAAAGGTAAATCGTGAGAGCATAGAAATGTCAACCTCCAGTTTTGAGTAATTACAAGATCTAAAAGAATTGAACTATTTAACTGCTCCATTTTTTTCCACCCCAAAATAGTATCCAACCAGCTTCAAATTACAGCAAAAATATAAGTCAAATCAGCCTTCTTATAGAGAGATAGGCCTGCTCAGTAAGCTTCTGCTCCTAACCAATTGCCGTTTTGGTATCAAGCCAAATGAGTTGGAACAACATGCAGAAAAGTACACTTATAAGACAAATATAAATACAGAACAAACAGCCCTCTTTAAAAATGCTGGTAGCATCTAAAGTCCCACAGCTTGGCAAAGTATGAAGACCTCTCCTATTCCCAGAGAAAGAAGTTCAAGTACTTACAGTATCATGAGACTTATCCTTGACATCATAGACTGCCAGTTTTATTCTTGACTCTTCATAGATGGGGTAGTCAGATGGGAATGTGACACCCGTCAGGAACAGTGGGTCTTTTGTTCCCTGAAACAGTATAGGCAGAAAACTTGGATTCATTAAGGCACCAACTGTAGCCGGTAGCATGCAGGGACAAATGAGAGCACAGAGAGTGTGTCTGTCTGCTTTTCTAGGAAATAGTTCTATTAAAAGAGATCCGAAGAGCCAAGTGTTGCTTGTGGGCCGAGAGCCCAGCGCCCATTGTACTGAGGGATGCTGAGTAGCTGAACTTTCCTTTAAGTGGCTCAGGACACTTAAAAAAAAATCTTGCTTATAAAAATCATATTCAGAACCTTTCTTTAGGTCAAGTTGCCATCCATTTAAAGCTCTATATAAAATATAATGATTATATATTGATAATTTAGACAAATGATCTAAGATTCTGCCTCACCAAATTGAAGGAAGCTGTTTTCTCAAACCACTGAGGTATCCTATGCTATTCTTTAAAAAAAAAAAGTTGTTGTTTGTTTTTGTTGTTGGTTTTTACTCTGCTTCAATCAAAAGCTACCCTCTATGTGAGTGTGATTGCTTTTAGGTGTTTAGCAGTGGCTTCCCTGCCGCCTGGACCATGGTGAAAACCAATGAGAAGAACTCTAAGCGTGATGCACTGTGGAAATGAATTTATTGCTTGGCATATGGTCCCCAAGACATTTCAGGGCCTCAGAATTTAGAAAGCTGGCATCTAACATCACATTGTAGACATGTACTCACACAGCCAAATATATTTGAAAATGTTTCAAAAGTTCACTATCCACTGGTCTACCAAAGTTTCAAAAAGCCTGTGGGATTCGTCCACTCATTCTTTGACTCTTTCCTTCAGAAGGCAAGATGCTCTCCTCCTGGCATTATGTCAGACACACTTGGAGGCAGGCAGTGAACAAAACATCTAAGAAAAGTGTGCGTATTTTACATAAAATTGTAAAAGTGAACAAAGTAAATCACCTTTATAGTTATGATAATACATTTTAGGATATGTGTGTTTTATCACAGGAGAATAATGAGGGCAGTAGAAAAAAATAAGCATGCACATTACTTTAAAATTTGCCAGTATCCAAAAAATAACCAAGTTACAATAATAACTGAAGTGTTTTCATTAAGAAAATGACTTTAAAGTTTTAGTCAAACTGCCTTTCTACAAGGAAGACTACTTTTAATTCAACTATGAGCTAACTATACATTTGACCAGAATTAAAACCTCAAGTGTGCAAAGGACAGATTCAGGGATGCAAGCAAGAGGCAGACTCCTTACTGCCTGCATGCAGGGGTCCTGAGTGGGAGAGCAGAGGAAGGAAGCCAGTTCAGGGCTAACTGCAGGGGGAAATGCAGGGCTGCACACAGGATTTAGGTCATTCTCATAATAGAAGTGACTCCAATTGCAGGCTGAATCATTTCTTCCAGCCACTGCGTCAGAGCGACTAGTGAGCTAAGCCAGCCAGGACTGGAGCAGACTGGCTAAGTTCCTGGGGAGACACTCATTCCGAACAGTGGAGGCTCACAAATCTAAGAACAAGCTGAGCTGAAGGAGCTGCAGGGCACTCTCCCCAGAGCCCCAGACGTTCAAATAAGGATCTCCGCTAAGGTCATGAGATGTGTCACAAGAACAAAATCATCTAGAGGGAAACCCTTGTCTTGTTGAATCTGAGCCAGCATGATAATGTATTTCCTTCAATACATGGTGAATGTTGTATTATCAACAATAAACATAAATAGGAAGTCTCTCATCCCATGGGTAATAGTTACAACTTTTGCCTGGAAACATCACAGGTAATCAAGTTAATCACTTCTCTCTCTTTGGAAAACATGGTATTTTGAAATACATACTTAGCAGAGAATATAAAGTATTTACTGTTAGACTGGACTGGGCCCCGGAGTATGAGGGGAGAGCAAAAGCCTCTCGATTTGATTTGAACTCTGTGAGTACTTGTATATGTTTTCCTTCATTAAATATATTCATCCCATTGAATTTAAAATCAACATAGAGAAACACAACAGAGAAATACAAACATCCAGACAAACATTCTATTCTGTTTGGGAATTCAGAGTGGAAATATTTTCTGGAAGAAAACTAAAACCTTTCAATGAAAAGTCCAATTCTTCTCCATGTGCTTACTCTGCATGTGCTTAGAAATTTCAGATCTGTGTTCCTTAATGACAGACAAAAGCAAGAGCCAGCCAGAGACCACAAGTTAACTTATGTCAGCTGTTCAGAGGGGCGGGAGAGAGGGAGAGATGGGGGGAGGAGAGAGCAGCAAGAGCAACGCACACAGAGACAACAGCTGAGGGGGGGGGAGAGAGAGAGAGAGAGAGAGAGAGAGAGAGAGAGAGAGAGAGAGAGAGAGAGAGAGAGAGAGAGAGAGAGAGAGAGAGAAACACACGCTAGGCTCACCTCTACAATTTCTGTGCTGGAGTACCTCGTCAGGGTCTGCTCCACGGGGTGGATTACTGAGATCTGTACTACTGTATTCAGTTTCCGATCACTGACAGGAGCCACAAGATCCTTGCAGGCTGGCAACAGCAAAGGAAAAAGAAAGAACAGAAAAAAAAGAAAGAAAGGAAGAAAGAAACTCAGTCGATCTCTCGGGGCAAACTTCTGTACAGAGCTGAAATAAACTTTGTCTAGCCGGTGAAGGAAATCTCCTGGTTCTCAGCTGGCTTTACAGAGGAAGTCTCTTGGAAGTACCTTACAGAAATAGGAAGTCACGTGCTGACAAGCTGAATTAAGAGTTCATTTCCACTGACCACATTTGCAGCACATGCAAGTCTTGAGTGCTCCGGGATCGCAGCTCCACTGTGTGAAAATGTAGACACACGGCCAGGGGCTGAGAGGGCTTTGATTGGCCAATAACCCGTAGGGTTGCTTTCAGTCTTGCACGGAGTAAGTTGATTTGATCCACAGCCAGAAAACTAAGATGTCTCTTGTTGACACTGGCTGGGTTAAATTGAATGTCTGAATGCACTCCTCACGACCCTCCCTACCTGGCCAGTCCTTCGCATTGTGGAAACAGGAATACTGATTACCCTGCCACAGCAGGGGAGCTCAAGCAGAAGAGGAAGCAGCCAGGGGTTAAAGACCCTCTGTCTGGAATTCAGGACCGTCCAGGATCCAGGGAGAGAGCATCTCCGGTGAGGACTGGATAATTGTTGCCCAGGGGCCACATAGTCTATAACTTTTCCTTGATACAGCCTGGCTCCTGTTACAGTGCTGTACCATATGCCCTGGAGTGTTTTCTACTGTTACATAGCATTTTCTCATTTTGGAAAGAAAAAAAATAAGGGGAGTAAAAAATACTCCTTTTCAGTAAGTCTGGTATCTTGCCTACTTTCTACCTGATTTTGAAATAGTATTTCTACTTCTTGAAACTGACTAAGTGTGATAAAAAAGTACCCTTTGCTCAGCAGACAGAGGTCAAACTGCTGGCCAGCCACAGGCTGTATGCAGTTTCTGGTAAAGGGGAAGCAGCCCCATAAGTGGTTCATGGTGACATGGTTCCACACCATCCCTAGCCCATTCAATGACCAAGAAGATAGGTAGAGGAGGAGGGTGGCTTTACACTCTGCAGTGGCACCTCTGCAATTTGCAGGGGCACTGGGACAAAGGTAATACAGCTTAAATTTGAAACTTGAAAGCAAAGCAATTTATAGATGTAATTATCACCTTTCAGTGGCTTGCCGAGCACCTTATTTATAGAAGCAGAATGAGAGAAAATACAGGAGCTTTCAAAGGGAACCAGCCTGATTTAGGTCCAGTTCTAATAACTAAGTAATACTCGGGGGTGGGTTGGAGTAGGGGGTGGAGTTATTTAACTCTTTTAACATCTTGTCAAACTTTGGGAGTTTTATTCCTGTTTGGCATTTTGTTGTTAAATTTTTCTTACTGATATCATATGCCTTGAGTAAAACAAACAAACAAACAAACAAACAAACAAAGCTATGGAAAGCACAGGTGGACAAAAATAGCCACAGTGTATTTACCCTTCACTGTTTTGAGGATCTCTGCTCATTACCTATATCAAAACATCCACTCGATTTCTTATTTCTGTCTTGGCATACCATTTAATCTCTGGCCAAGTGCATCAGCCTTTGGGACATCCACTGCCACTACTATTTGTTGCTTACCCTGATAAAGCTACATTTAAAAATAATCAAACAAAAGCCCACCTACACATGGTTTCAATAACATCAATATACCGCTGGAAAATATCTTTCGCTGGACGGTTTCCTGCACCCTGCTCTTTGGTGGTTAGTTTGATCATTTCCTTGCTTTGCCTTATGATGTGCATTTTATTTGAATACTCTCGCTTTTCTTTTTGCTGTGAGCCTCTACTGAAGCTGAGAAGCTTCTTGTCTTGGGAGTTTAAAGCTAGGGGCTTTTGAGTTTCACACACATGCACCTCACCCACTCTCTGGTGGCAGCCTCCCCCCTGTCTTATGAGGGCTTGACACCTTTGATCAAAATAAGTTACATCCTTTCTGAGTTCTTATCGGGCTCCGCTGTGGTTATTCACAGAAGTAAGTAGCTATTCTGTTCCAGCAGAGAGCCTCTCAGCCACACTTCCTACAAGAACAGAAAGCACATAACACTGATGGTTCTGTGCAGTTCTTCAGATGGCCCTGATAGAGGGCTAGGAAACGGACTGGTGACTTAACAATTTGTATGCAGCTACTGTCTATGTTCAAAACCAGGCATAGAGAAGAATAGCAGCAACAGTGATGTTGGAGGCTGGGCTCTCATCTCCTTCCTTCCTAACAAATAGCTTCCAGCCTTTACTGTTTCTTAACAAGATGTGCACTCTCAACTGTTCCTATGTTCCTGTTCCACCATCATGAATTCTAATTCTCTGAAACCACTACACAAATTAAACTCTTTCTTCTATAAGTTGCCCTGGCCATGGTTTATCATCATAGCGATAGAAAAATGACTAAGACAAGAACCCTAAGTATATGCTTACAAAATCTAAAAACATTATATCAATTTTCCAAAGGATCCTTACCCTTTCCTGTTAACACATGGAACTCTACTCCAAGAGTCCAGCAGATAAATGGCCTTCCTTGATGTGTAATGCTAGAACACTACATACAGTGTTTGGTGGCTGGAGGACGGAGAGAATATGTTTCAGTGGTATATTTACTGGTAAGGTGCCTGTGTCTTATAAATAGCCTCATTCTAACAAGGATCACTAATTAAACACACTAAGCCATTGAATTGGGATCCTGAGGTGAAAGAGTAGGCATCTTCAAGGTTGTTCTTAAGTCAAGGACTCCATCATCCATAAGATGTTCTTGTCGTTAAGTAAAGCATCAGTTCCTGTTCATACAGTCATCTAGACCATGCCATGCCTGTTAGGGTCAGAGAGCATTTCCATCGCCCAAGCCAACGTTAAGTGGAAGCTGAAAAACTTTCTCTTGACTCACATCAGAGAATAACACAACTGTCAAGTTCACAGAAGTCTGAACCTTACGATGGATTGAAGTGTTAAAATAAGCATGCTGGGGTACAGAGTTGAGGGAGGACAGGGTGTAAGCTTTGGGGTAGCTTGTGGTCATAGACAGCCCAAGCAGTCATCTCCTGCACTCTTAAGAACTATTTCTTCTGTTAAGCTCAGTCATTTTCCTTGCCTCACCAGCCTTCAGTGTTAGTAACAACTGGCAAAGTCTATTCTTTCCCTAAGAACTAAGCAGATGAGTGTGTGTGTATGTGTGTGTGTGTGTGTGTGTTCGTGTGTGCGTGTGTGTATAGGATTGTGATGACAAGAGTCTCCACACTTCAAAAATTTTCTAATAAAAATTAACCAGAGGAGACATTGTCTAGTATAATCAAGAACTTTTTGGGTTTGGGTTTTGGTTTTGCTGTCAAGACAGGATCTCATGTATCCCAGGATGGATCTCATGTATTCCAGGATGATCTTGAATGCTTCATGTTGCTAAAGATGACCTTGAACTTCAAATCCTGCTGTATCTACTTCCTTATAATGGGATTACAGGCACATGTTCATCCATAGTTAATATGGTACTGGAGATGGATCCCACAATGACATATGTTCTGGAACAGTACTCCAAATAAGTCCAAAGATAATTTTTTTAACTAAGGATAAAATTGTGTTTAATAGCTGGGTCATACCTGAAGAACTATGTGGCTTTTTACAAATGATTCGTTCTTTCTGACACAATATGAACAACAACAACAAAGACTGTAAATGTTGCATTAAAACTATATAAAGCAATTATGATAGTTAATATTGACTATTAACTTGACAGGCTCTAGAATCACGTATGAGACAAGCCTCTGGGCTTGTCTGTAAGGGGTTATGTAGATTGGTTTAATTGAAATAAGAAGAGTCACCCTATATCTGGGTGGCAACTTTCCTTGGAATTGGGTCAGAGCTCAGAAAGGATAAAAAGGAGAAAATGAGCTGAGCAGCATCATTCATCTCTTTTGAATTCCTGATTGTGGATGCAGTGTGGGCTGGTGCCTTCTGCTTCCGCTGTCATGACTACCCTGCGATGAGAGACAGTATCCTGGGAACTGTGATGATAAAGTGAGTCCTGTCTTATTTAAATTGCTATTGTCAAAGTATTTTGTCACAGCCTTAAGAAAAATAAGGCATTGTATGTGCCTGTGTGAATGTGTATTTGTATTTGTGTGTGTGTCAGTGTGATATGTGTGTGAGAGAGTATATGTTCGAGTGTGTGTATTTATGAGTGTGTGTATCTGTGGGTCAGTGTGTATGAGTTCGTGTTAGAGAGCATGTGTGAGTATGTGTGTATGTAAGTGTGAACATGTGCATTTCTGTAAGTGTGCATGTGTGTGTGTGTGTGTGTGTGTGAGAGAGAGAGAGAGAGAGAGAGAGAGAAGGCTGACCTTAAGTGCTGTGATTAAAAATATATATTATGATCCAGCAAAACTAAAAGCAGAAAAATAGAACCCAAATCATCCTGGTGGAGGTGTGTCTTGGACTCCATTGAGTATAAGGAACTCTGTATTCTGACTGTTCTTGAGAAAACCTGAAGACATACACCCAAACTGGCCACACTACAGAGAACAGGAAGCACTCTAGATCAGAAATGTGGCCTTATACACAAGCTTTAGAGCAATAACCCCATTGTTTACAGCTTCTCCCAAGTGACACTTCTTATCTACCACCTCTCTGATAAGGATTAGTCTCTTCCCAAAGAAATCAGGAAGACTTTTGCCACCTGAGGACAATGTCTTAGCATCTCTCACATTCCTAATAGTTGGTTAAGTTTCTCCAAACTTCCACTTATATACTATGTTTTCTTGTGCCTTAGAAAATAAGATCCCAGTAATCAACTGATAAGCCAATTTAGCTTGTGTTTCCAGTCCAATAAATCATTGAACTCTGTTTTAGGACTTCACAGTTCTCAGTATACACCAGTGATTACATTTAGATTAAGTTAATTTATGTCATACACAGAAAGATACATAGATCATTTAAGAGCCTAAAAGCCCTTCTCCTTAATTACTTCTCCAGTGTATTAGGCTTTCT